GATACAGAAAAGAGTTTTTAGTGTGTTCAAATGTTGTTTAACAGCCAGTTCCATATTTTGGACAAACAGTCTAGCTTGGTCTTTATCGAATTTTTTTATAAGACTAGTAGTTAAAAAGCTATTGGTTAAGGAAAATATAAGAATAACTGTACATACGGTGACCTAAAATTCAATATTCGCTTCCTGAACTGTAAAACTAAGAAAAGGATCTCAACCCATAGTTCTATTCCAGAATTATAGTTCTCTGGTTTCTGCCAATCATTCTTAGGAAAAACAGTAATTTCTTGTCATTTTAGTGTGAATAAAACAGCGCGAAATGGGTGGCGCATATGTTCCGTCGAACTCACCTTGTCGACTTCTTTCGAACGGTATATGATAGTACAGGTCATTGGCTGAAAAATGATGAATTCATAAAACGACTTTAGTACGTAATTTAAGGGTGACACGCCTGAACAAGATGGCTTAATTAATGATAATTTCTTGTTAATTCAGTTAATGTGTAGCACAATTGGGTCACTTGTATTGGTCTTTTTAAACTGTCATTTTTATTCTCTCCATACCAACGTTTACCTTTCAATGGAAGCATGTGCGTGGTTGAATACAAAATAACTGATGCATAACAAAGAATAGTGCAAAAATCTATTCTATATTATGATTCACTCATAAACCAAATTAGTCAAATAGATGAAACTTACTTTTTTCACCTATCATACATGGAAGACGTTATACAATTCGCAATCGAACCAACAAAAAAAAAAGATAACTTTTTCCAACGAATAATCTCCTCGTTTAAGCCAGCACCAGCAAACGATGAAGGAACTGAGCAGAAACCCGCAGACGCAGCTATCACTACTCCGCCGAACGCTGAAAGTGGCTTAAAACGTACATTAACCGGTCGTCATTTGCAAATGATTGCCATTGGCGGTTCAATTGGTACAGGTCTGTTTGTTGGTAGTGGTTCTTCACTTACGACCGGTGGTCCGGCATCAGTTCTCATTGGATTTCTTATCATCGGAGTCATGCTTTATACAGTTGTAAATGCTCTCGGAGAACTAGCAGTCATGTATCCTGTACAAGGTTCATTTAACATATATTCTACACGTTTTTTGGATCCAGCATGGGGTTTTGCAATGGGATGGAATTATGCAATGGGCTGGCTTATCGTTTTACCACTTGAATTATCGGCAGCTGCGTTAGTAGTTGAATATTGGACGAACAGTGTACCCGTAGGAGTTTGGATCACTATCTTTTTCGTTCTTATCATTATTATTAATTTATTTGGCGTTAGAGGCTATGCTGAA